GCAAGCGCGCCAACGTTCACTCGACCGGACGTCCAATATCTCCTGTGAATATTGATCGTATAGACGTCTGTGAGGGAAGTCTTCATCTCTGAGCTCAGTAAACACTTTCCTGATGAGTTTATGGTCTCAGCCGCTGGTTTCAGGTCTTAAGAAATAAAACGAATTAATTTTGGAAATGATGATGTCATTAGAGACACAAAGCAGCAGATTCAGGACAACGTCTGGAAATGTAGACAGACTTTGAAGACACTAATAATAGTTTTCATTATTGAGTTATTTCCTTCCACGTGGTGTTTAAAGTCCTGCAGAGACGCTGCTGTGCGCTCGTTAACACAATGCTGATGTTTGTTAGGACGCTTCCTGGAGATGCACATGTACATGACGTCAGCGCTCAGCAAGAACGACATGAAGGCCATTGGCCTGCAGATGGCGCTCGACCTTCTGGCCAAGAAGGAGAAGAGAGACTCGATCACTGGACTGAGGACCAGAACCCAACCGGGCCGACCCGAGTGGGGGAAGGTGAGGCGTTGCGTTGGTTTAACTTGGTCTTCTTCTTTTCTGTTATTGGTATTTTTCAAGGAGAGTTTGGGACCCTTCCTGAATAGTTTTGGAAGGTTTTGGTAGAGTGTCCTCTTTGGGTGACATGTGATCCTGGACCTGATAAAGTAACGTTGGGCTAAATCAGACAGGCTCAACACGGCGAAAATGTTTTGGCTTTAAATAGAGGCTACAAACAGAAAATAGCGTCCATGGACATCTGCTTCTCGGGGGGACATTCGCACCAGACTCTGTCAGGAGTCCCCACACATGAGTTCATCACAAATTCGGAAAGTTCTCCTTAAAATTTTGTAAAGACTGAAAAATTTAGCAATGAACCTATCTCTGAGGTTTCAGGCTGCCATGGATGGCCATTTAAAACATTTAAGGTCCTGGATGTTAGTTCCTGGAAAGGAAACTACTTCTTCTGGAGTTTATTTTATTGAAGTAGAGGGGAGACCGAGACATGATGGTTCTCCAATAGCAGTTTAGTTTTATCAATCAAGGAGCGTCGGTGTGTTTTGCAGTATCAGCTCCTAATAAAATACTCTGTGTGTGTGTTTCAGGTGTTTCAGAAGGTGTCTGAGGAGAACAAAGGGAAGGTACATGTGTTTTACTGCGGCGCTCCCGCTCTGGCCAAAGTCATCAAAGCTCAGTGTGAACACTTCGGCTTCAACTTCTACAAGGAGAACTTCTGAGGAGGTCACGGGCCGTCAGCACACACCTGCAGCTGTGTGCGTGTGTGCGTGTGTGCGTGTATCGCTGATGTTGTGGAGACATTAATCATTTTATGTGTTCACATTTTGTTGGACCCGCCTCCTTTTTGGGGGTGTGACGCACAGAGTATGGGGCTTTGTCGAAAGTGACCTATCGTGAGAGCAGCTTCGCATGATTTACAGCTCAAAATAATCCTTCTTTATCAGAAACTGGCCCTAGGAACTTCCTGTCAAAGTGGAATAAAGACAATTTGTGTTGCATTTGTATTTGTTGTAACTTCTGCTGCCCTCTTGGAAAAAAAGAGACCTGGTCTCTCAGTGAGACTTTTCCCTGCACAGGTTAGAGAAATATCCCAGTAATGTTTATGGACCTTATGGGTTTGTATGGAAGCTTGTTTCTACTACTGGAAAAAAAAAGTGCCATCCACGAGTAAACAAAGTCAACCAAAAAAAGCTATTTTTAAAAACTTTTCTCTGAGTGATTTTTATGAAAAGTTTGACTTATTAATTTGAAATGTTAGGATACTAAACCTAAATTTGGACTTTTTCACAAAAATACTTGCGTATGGCACATCTTTATTTAATAATAAAATCTAATCTTGTTTGTTATTTTACTTATTTTAGATTTTAATAATTACTGTGTCTGATCCATCTGTGGCAGGTTATCGTGTTAATGATGTTTATGTGTATGAACTGTCCAAATAAAAACAAATAAATAAACATTTCTGATCTCTTTAATAAAAGCAACTGTTTCCAGGCTTTCTAATCGATGTCAGAGCTGCTTCCTGCTGCCCAACAATATATGATAGGACTCCAGTGCTTGAATTACCCTCACAATAAAGCGTGAAACCGCCTTTCTTGAAAACAGTTTCTTTGATGGCTTCGTTTCCGGGCAGCGCTATTAAAGCCCTGGCGCAGGTGAGCAGACTCTTTCGTGATCGACGATTTTGTGTCTGGGCTCTGTTGGTAGGTCTGAGTATGTGGCTAGCGAACAGCTAGCAGGTTACGCAGTAGCAGTTTGACGTCGGGCAGCCTCTTTAAAATCGGACCAATGCCTTAGAAAAGCTTCTCTGTTCGCCCCCGTCTTGTAATACGAGCGCTGCCCGTTGAGGCCAGCGGTCGGTGCTCGGTAGAAGATCGGGATAAAGCGGAGGATCTTAGCGTACCGGCGCTCGTTGGTCACGGTCTCCGTTTTGGCCGAGCTAGCTGTTCAGTAGCTCTTAGCGCCGCAATGGATCCATAAAAGAAGGTAGGCCCGGCTCACAGCAGCAGCCTCTCATTCACGCCCTGTTTGCTCTCTGAATGGACTCCGGGCGGGTGAAAGTGTTGGATCTGTGGGCTCGGTTCGGCACGACGCTGCCTGGGAGCTACATGTAGGCGCTGAGGGGCTCCTCGGACGGTTCCGATCAGCTGAGGTCCACTCTTGGGTTCTGCTCGCTTCACCGCGGCTCTGGTTCCGTGAGCAGAGCGGGGGTGTGAGGCTTTGTGCCGGCTGGAGGCCCTCAGGCTCACAGTCAGCTGTGTGAAGCTGAAACATTTCTGTATTTTTATCATTTGACTCGGACTGTGACAGGTGTGTTCACGGTGATGACGTTTCTGCCTCCGAACCTCTTTATTTCAGGTTCACGCGCCTCAGCTCTGGGTTAGGGTCACCTGAGGAACCAGAACAGCCTCACCTGGCAAATTGCAAAGTGATGACGTTAAATCACCGGGTCTGTGGGTCTCAGACCCTGTACAGACGAAACAAACAGCCTGACTAAGCTCATGTAAAAAACAAAAACAGCTGTTTGTTCCAAAGCAGATGTTTGTAGAGACTGAGCACAGCTGGTATCAGTCTGCACATAACTCTTCATGAGAGGAGCACAGTGACACACAGAGACAGACTCCCTCAGAACTGAAACTGTGAAGTGTTGTGTGTCTCAGAGTACAAATACTGTGATAATTACTGTATCTGTGGTAACAGGATAATATTTAGATCAAGTGGCTGGTACATAAAAAGTGGGGTGAAAAAAGACGGGGGTACTGGGAGGCCAGGAAAGACTTACAGTGAGCTGTATGAGAGGCTAGACACTGAGGATGGAGAGACGGACTGGTATTGACTGGCTGGGCACAGAGGATGGAGATGGAAAGGATGCGCAGCAGGTTGGAGTAATTACGGACAGAGATGCAGACTACTAATGACTGAAAAGACTGTACCGCAACGATGGAAGTGGTACTTGGAATGGATGAAAGCTAGTTAGTGAACCAGGAAGTGCAGAGGACTAGTGAGGAGGAGGGGAAAGGTGGTTGGTCCTAATGACATACCTGTGCAGGTGTGGAGATATCCAGGAGAGAGGGCAGGCTGTTTAACATACAAGACGTGTGCTGGTCCTGAAGAACAGGCTGAGCTGTAGTAACTGCAGAGGGATGAAGATGTGAGGAAGAGATGTTGAAGCTGGGCAAGAAGAGAGCTGATGATCCGTGAGCAGCAGTGTGGCTTCATGCTCTACAGACGTGATGTTTGCTTTGAGTGTTGATGGAAAGTTTAGAGAAGGTCACTGTGGTGCTGCACGAGGACGCATCTGAGGGCGGGGCATGTGTGAGGACAGAGGCAGTGGTGAGGTGTGCGCTCAGAGAGACAGATGTGTTGAAGGTGGGGGTGGGATTACGTCAGGGATCTGCTCTGAGCTTCTTCCTGTTTGCAGTGGTGCTGGACAGGCTGACAGGAGGAGCAGGTGGAGGTATGCTCTGAAGGTGGTGGAAGGAGCCGAGGTAATGAGGGTTTAAGTTTGGTCGACCATCCAAAGAGAGTGTGGGTGGAGATGTGTGACAGAAGGATGGCAGCAACAGTGAAAGGAAAGGTTCAAAGGTGGGGGTGAGGAAGCAGCAAAAGTCTCTGCAGGATGTCTCCAGCTTCCTGTCCGGGCTCGGCACGTTCCTCTTTTCAGTAGTGGGGTCTAATTTTGTAGGTGGCGCCGTGGAGCGTGTGACGCCATGAAATCCGAGTGTTTTCTTACTGTGCTGAAAATCACACATGGTTAGATTTAAATGATCTCCACCGGTTGGTGACGCTGACGGCGCTCCCTCGTCCTGCAGCTGCACGCGCCATTTGGGTCTAAGTTTTAAATGGAAGCTCAGCTTCAGCGTCGTCAGTAAATGTGTTTGCAGCATCTGTTCCAGCTGCAGGCGACCAGTGAAACCAGTGAAACCTTCCCAGCTGCTGAGAGACGATTCTGATGTGTTCTGACGGTAAACTGATCTTTACTGAAGCTCGGCTGATGAAGGCCATTTAATGGTGCGACCTTCAGCCATCATCGCTGCTCTTCTTATCAGTTTAATATAGTTTTAATACGCCGAGTGATGGATTGAGATCAGTCAGCTGATAAATCTGGGTTTGTGTGTGACTGGCTCACTCCTGTTTTTGAGTAAATAAACCTTTAAGGCCAAATTATTAAAAACTTGTTTTCATAATTTTGGTGAATTTGATGGAAAAAGTGTGGAAATGAAACCATCACTGATGAAAGAGTCCAGCTGACTTCACACTAACACAGCAGCTGATGATTATTTTCATTCTGACACAAAATCAGAAATTCATGGTTCAGACATTCCTGCCCAAAGCCCGCCCCCTCGCTCTCCTGGCCTCAACTTCGCGCCGCAGCGTCATAGTAACCGTTTCTTTCAGCTCGATTTATTTCAGGTTGTTTTTCTCAGCCCAGACTCTGCATGGCGTCGGATTGGCAGCAGCGGGAGTGAGCAGCCAATCAGCCGAGGACACCGGTAGCATCATGGCGTCTCGTCAGAGGAACTCTGTCCGGATCCTGTCCAGCCGGGAGCGCGGCTCGCAGATCTTTGGCTCGCAGCGCCTCCTGCAGCTCCTGGTGGAGGAGAAAGTCCGCTGGATGAAATGGCAGAGTCAGGCAAGTTTCAGCTTCTTCTTTCCTCTAAGAACCAAACCGTTTTCAGACGGCGCCCCCTACAGCCTACTCCCAAATGACATGCTAATAATTTAGCTTTTATTGCTCAGGCTTTCTGATGGCTCTGTGCCTTCCTCCTGTTTGTGCGGTGACGCACTCATCAGTGCTTTTCAGATAAGAATCATCGTTAAAAATGGGTCCGAATCAGTTTTTATCAACTTTGTTTTTCCTTGAGTTTTCCCAGCAGCTGCTGGGATGTATGTGATGGAGGCCGTTTAACACCAGGATACGCCTGCCTACCAGCTTTGGCCACAGTGGGACAAATATGCCCGTCTGAGGCGCTTCTGCTGCACATTAGAGAAGTGAGAGCTGTGGGGGTCAGAGCGTTGTGGGGAGGAACTGAAAACAAAATCGTCCAGTTCCAGCCCGCAGGGCTCAGGAGGGCGTTGGTGGGGAGCGGTCGGATTGTTCGTAGCAGGCGGCGTTGCTGATGTGTTTGAGTGTGTGCTTGTGAGCGCTTCCCACTGACTGTGAATGTTTGTGTCTCCAACAGAAGGTGGAGCTGCCGGACAGCCCTCGCTCAACTTTCCTGCTGGCCTTCAGCCCTGACAGGTGAGTGAAGTCAGAGCACAGGTGGAGGCGGAGACTCCATCAGTACTGGATCTTTTTACCAGAGTATTATCGATGTAGTGGTGTTTAATCAGGATACTTTACCAAAAAGACACAAATGAGCTAAAGTGTATATAGTTGAGTTTGAGGTGGAGTAGGTGGAGCTGAGACTCTTTACTGGAGTAAAGAGTCTCAGCTGGGCCTTTCAGAGGAAACGTTGTGTCTGCAGGACCCTCATGGCTTCGACCCACGTCAACCACAACATTTACATAACAGAGGTGAAGACTGGAAAGTGCCTACATTCCTTAGTGGGCCACCGTAGAACCCCCTGGTGTGTGACCTTTCACCCCACAATTCCTGGCCTGGTGGCCTCTGGGTGCCTTGATGGCGAAGTCCGGATCTGGGACCTGCATGTGAGTACCCCCCCCCCCAACATTGTACAGCAGTGCAGCAGTCGGGCAGGGTGCTAAATGCTTTCATGTCAGCCTGTTGATGAGGACATGGAGTCGGTGTTTCTGTCGAGCTGCACTCTGGAGTGTCCTCGCTCACGCAGCGGGACATCAGACTAGGGCTGGGCCGTATCATGTCACGGTACTACCGGTGTAATGTTGGGCAACGTTAGGAAAATGAAATATGGCGATAGAATATGGGTAAAACGCGCATGTGCAGCGCCTTTGTTTACATACGCACATGGAGGCGACACAGAATGAGGAGAGTGAAAGCGGATCGTTGAATGAAACGATGAACCAGAACTGGTTTGTAAAAATGCTGCAGCTTCACTGGTGTGGAACTGGTTTAGCTTTCGTCCGTCAGATACACAACAAAGCACTATTTTTGGTAGCGCATGCTAGCGGGCCGTCGTTATTACCGTGTTGTATGGAAAATACGGCACACTTAAAATCAATCCTTTGATTTGTCTGAAAGTCGACAGAGCCCCTTATAACCCCGTGTGCCTCATGTATGAACTCTGGTTGTGTTACTGACCTCGAAACGGTTTTATGTGCACGGCGCTCGAAAATCTGTCAGATGTTTCAGTACGACTTTGCTGAGCTACGAAGCCGCACCGCTTGATGGATTGTCGGAGCATTACGGCTGTCGTAGGCGGAGCCTCGCGGAGTGATACGTGCTGTGCTTCAACATAATGTTACCATACTGTGTGTGTATAACCTCTTTTTAAGGTTTGTGGATATTATACATGGTTATGCTGAGGATGTGTCGGCCAGTTTCCACTGAAATGCCTTTTGGTTAAACTGTCAGCGAGGAATTTGCATTTGCACTGTTAAATGTTTATATAACTTTAATGCAGATAAAAAACAGCTGCTTGTTTAAGTGAAAATACATTGATTTGGGTTTTTTGCACTAATAAAGTTGTGGAGTTGTAAAGTATTTTGTCTCGTGTCAGTTATATCGTTATCGCAGATTTTCAAATGTATATGGTGATAAATATTTTTGGTCGTATCGCGCTGCTCTACATCAGACGTAACTGAGTAACTGTGTTCTGCAGGGCGGGAGTGAGAGCTGGTTTACCGAGAGCAACGTCGCCATCGCCTCCCTGGCCTTCCACCCAACTGCTCAGCTGCTCCTGATCGCCACCAACAATGAGCTCCACTTCTGGGACTGGAGCCGCCCCGAGCCCTTCGCCGTGGTGAAAACGGGCAGCGACACGGAGAGAGTGCGGTGGGTTAAACACGGCCGCTGGTCAGAGGTCGAGTCTGAGCGTGTGCATGACGTGACAGTAATAACGGAGCGTGCTGCTGTTACGTTTTTATTAACATATCGCTGGAGCCAGGTGTTTTCATCGACTTCTTCTCTGTGTCTGTCAGGTTGGTACGCTTCGACCCTCTCGGTCACAACCTGCTCACGGCGATCGTGAATCCATCCAATCAGCAGGTACGAAGATGATCTGAAGCCATTTCTTAGCGAGGTAGCGTCATGTTTCAGAGGATGACCGCCATGGTTCACCTACAACCTCAGCTGCACACCTCACCAAGAGAGCGAGTAATGCAAAAAAGAACATCACGCTGTATTATGTCATGGAGCTGAGGGCGTGCCGAGCACTGAGAGGTCTGAGGCACAGCTAGCACCGAGTCAGGTGGACCTGCCCCCTCGCTCCTGTGTGGATCCTCGATTTGGTCGTTACAGTTTTCCTGTGTCTGTGTTACGATTGGTTGATTTTTCTGGGAGGTGACTGCAGATGCGTTTGCTGAGGATGACATCACCATGGCAGGTTTTGGGTGACAAGTAGAAGAGGTCGTCCTGTCTCTGCCGTTTAACCTGCCTTCAGTGATCAGGTGTTTTCTTCTTCTTTGCCTCCTTTAGGGCGAGGAGGACTCGGAGGTTCCCATGGACAGCGTTGAGATGCCTCACTTCCGTCAGCGCTCCTTCCTGCCTTCCCAGCCGGTCCGCCGCACGCCCATCCTCCACAACTTCCTCCACATCCTGTCGTCCCGCTCCCCTGGGGCTCAGGCCGGAGGCGAGCAGCCGCGGCCTCTCGGGGAAAATGGAAGTAACATGGCCGAGTCTCCCAGCATCCCTTTGGCCCAGTACCCCAGCTCGGAGCGCGGTCCGCCCCTGCCCGGCTGCACCCAGCACCTGGGCATGGTGTGCATGTGCAGTCGCTGCTCCATCAGTCGAACGGCGCCCCAGCCAGACGGAGCCTCTGTGCCTCCCCCCGATCCACGGGCATCATCGGACTCACTCCAGCCTCCCCCGGCCTCCACCTTCTCCTCAGCTCGTACTGAGCCCAGACAGCCCTCGGAGCGAACCTCCGCCTTTACCTCTGTCTACTACAGCGCCGGCGCTTCTCTTAACCCCGCCCCTCCGGGCGGCCACGAGCCACACTCCACGCCCAGACCGGCACCCGACTGGACTCGCAACCTGCTGAGTGTGAGGGAGGGGGGGATAAATCCTGGCATGCTGCCTCCCAGAACCTCCGCCTCCTCCTCCATCAGCCTTCTGTCTGTGCTCCGCCAGCAGGAGGGCTCCTCTCACTCCCCCGTCTACACCTCCGCCACCGAGGGGCGGGGTTTCCCCCAGCAGGGAGAGCCCGGAGCCCGGGATACCGCCAGCACGAGCAGCGGGCATCACCCGTTCTGGGACAGTGCCCGTGGTAACACGGCCTCCTTCCGCAACGTGCTGCAGTGCAACCTGAGCCGCTACTTCCTGGAGATCGGCCCCATCGACATGGAGCCGGCGCTGGGCGGCGCCATGGCCGACGGAGGCCAGGAGCAGAGTCAGGAACTGCTCAACAACAACATGGACCCGGACCGGCCCGGGCCTTCCTCATCCTCCTCCACCCCCACCATCATCCACTACCAGCCTCCCCTCCCCCCGCCCCCCAGCTCCCACAGCCTGGAGAACAACGTCCCTCCCCCCGCCTCCCGTGGTCACCTGAACCGCTGCCGGGCCTGCCACAACCTGCTCACCTTCAACCACGACTCCCAGCGCTGGGAGCGCAAGACCTCCTCCGCCTCCACCTCCATGCTGGAGCCTCCCTCTTCCTCCTCTGCTTCTTTTCCCTCTCCTTCCTCTCACTGGCAGCCCGATGAGGCCAGAAGGATGCTAGAAGTCCAAACACAGGAGAGGAGGGCGCCTCCTGAGTCCAGCGAGCAGCCGCCTCCCCCAGCAGCAACAGTGGGAGGAACAGGAGTGGCCTTCCCCATTGCCCCGTCCTCTACCCAGCCCGGGGAGCAGACGGTGGGCCTGGTGTACAACCAGGACACAGCGCAGTGGGAGAGGGTGTACCGGCAGGCTGCGTCAGGCCGGCCGGCGGAGCCACCAGAGGCCTTAAGCCAAGAAATGCCCGTCGACCCGCCAGACGAGGACTCCCTCAGGAGGTACGTCACCTTTTCTTTTCACCATCGCAGCTTTATGAGGTCAGATTCTGGTCCTTCCATCGGACCGTAGCTCCTAAACGAGCCTCTTGTTTTACTCGTGAACTCACCAGGAGAGTGTTAGCTGAGCTGAGCTCAGCCCCCTGCTGGGCTTTAGGAAGAATGCAGGTTTAAGGCAGCACTGTGAGGGTGACTTTGGAGTCTATCTGCTTGATATCACACAGTTAGCTGAGCATGAAAGCAGTGCTTATAATCAGCTACCATCTGTGTCTCGAACACTGAGCGCGCTCTGTGTGCCTCTGTTTCTCGCCCAGGCGGCTGCTGGAATCCTCTCTCCTGTCACTGTCTCGCTACGACATGTCCGGCTCCAGAGACCACCCCATCTACCCCGACCCAGCCAGGTACAGAAGCACCGCCGTGTACCTCGAGTCTAGGTTCAATATGGGCTTTGATTTAACTCTCCCAGGCCAGCTTGGCATGAGTCGCAGTTCAGAATAATCCTCCTTTATCTCACACTGGACCGCATTAGAGGTGTCTGCTCTCTGTGACATCACACAGATCTAAACGTAGAAAAAGCTGCTGACACGTTGAGCTCATTAAACTAGTTCTTAAAAATGTGAACGCCGGATTCAGGAAGTGGGAACAAAAAGGAATAACAGCGATTTGTACAGTAATGAAAGATGGCCATTTGATGAGTTTCCAAGATTTAAAAGATCAGTATAGTCTACAGAAAACCGATTTTTACCGGTACCTGCAACTCAGAGACTACTTTTCAAAGGAAGTACGAAGTTCGCGTAAGTCTTATGGCATCCTGAATTGTATAATTAAATCATACAGGGGCCTCCAATTCAAGGAGATTTCTGTACTATATAAAAATCTGAGAGATCACGGCAACATCAACTGAATACATAAAAAAGAAATGGGAGCAGGAAATAAAAACTGATATCTCAACTGAGGAATGGTTAGATATGTGTGACACCCAGAACACAACCACTAACTCAAGATGCTGGAGAGAATTTGGGTGGAAACATCTTACTCGATTCTTTATTACACCAAAAATCAAAAGTAAACAGACTCAAGACAGGTTGCCATGCTGGAGAAGATGTGGTAACATGGAAGCACACCATGCGCACGTGTTTTGGGAGTGCCTGAAACTGCATCATTTTTGGAAGAACGTGACTCTTGTAATAGGCAATATCTTGGGCTATCAATTACCACACAATTTTAAAACTGTATATCTTGGGAATATTAGAGAGTATGTTCTGTACGACGACTTGTATTTGACAAAAATCCTATTGATAGCTGCAAAGAAAGCTATAACAAGAAACTGGTACAAACTGGATCCGCCTTCTTCAAAAGACTGGTTAAATATTGTTGGAGAAATCTGTGCAATGGAAAAAATGACTTACATTCTCAGATTAAAGGAAGATATTTTCGTTGCTAAGTGGGAGAAGTGGACATTATATGGCACCAAGGAAAATTAATGAACGAACAAAACATCTAAGGTCTATAACTCTGTATATCTATTGATGCATGCCCGTATAAAAGTACGTATATAAGCTGGAGTATGTATGCTGCGGAGTAAAGGCAGGCATGCATACGGTAGTTGATTAGAATTGGCACCCACACCTTTTGTTCGCTTTAGTTCTGTTTGTTTTCACTGTGTGCTTGCATGGTTATTTCTCCTGTAATGCAAAACATGTCTATGTTTAAACTGTGACAAAACTATCAATAAAAATTACAGTGTCAAAAAAAAGTGAACGCCCACCAATAAGACCTGAACGCTGCAGCGGGGGTTAAATGTGAGCTGCTGCACACGCTTGTGTTTCTGGGTAAATGATGGACAAAGCCGAGGTCGCTGGGTTTGCCTCTGTCGAGGTCAGAGTTTGAGAGGTTTCTGCAGACGCTTGCTGATAAAGAGTTTTTGCCCTCTGCTGTGCAGGCTTTCTCCAGCAGCTTACTACGCTCAGAGGATGATCCAGTATCTGTCGAGGCGCGACAGCATTCGCCAGCGCTCGCTCCGCTACCAGCAGAACCGGCTGCGGGCCATGTCGTCCTCCTCGTCGGACAGCCCGGCCAGCAACCCGCCCAGCTCCATGGACAGTGGCGACGTGGACTTTGAGGATCTCGAGTAAGTTTCAGTCGCCTTCCTCTCATGGCTCACACAGCACACTGTGACCCGAGCCGGTCTTATCCTGTCAGCGCAGCCGCTCGTTAGGTTGGCTCGTTAGGTTGGCTCGTTAGGTTGGCTCGTTAGGTTGGCTCGTTAGGTTGGCTCGTTTCGAGTAAAACGAATCAGAAGTTTATTCTGTTCACTGGGACGTTTCATCACTGGTCCAGGTGACTGCAGGTTTCAACCTTATTTGCACAATGACTGAAACTAACAGCAGGCTGTGAGGTCAGTTTATGATCACTGATCAATAACCATCAGTCCCGGTCACAGAGAGCTGGGGAATGGCTGCAATCACAGCTTTGTAAGATGGCGACAGATGTACCCTTAGGCCCCTCCTCCATTCAGAGATGGTCTTTCCCTTTTCACTCAAACCAGCGTTCCTCCCTGTCCAGGATGTGACATCATCATTAAGGCGTGGCCACGGGCCCTGGCCCTTGGCTCTGGTGGATTATTGAGCGTGCGTTAGGAGTGGTTAAAACTGTGTAATGGCGGTCCATCATCGAAGATTAGAAAATGAATCGGGACAAAACGCTGTTCTGGAGTCCGTTCAGGAATTTTCCTCAGATGTTTAAAATCGCTGAAATCAGATGTGAGCTCGTAAATTATTGTCACGTGCCGTCAGGTAGGCGGGTCCACAGACGGCGTTTGTGCCCCGCTCTGAGCTGTCCTGTAGAAACGCAGCGTGCAGCCCTGATGTTGTTGACTCGAGTCCTCGTGTTTCCGTCCCAGCTTCTCCCGTGGTGGGCGGGGCTCTTTTCACCGCGCTGTAGATATGTTTGCGTGCAGCGCGTCTCAGCTGCCCTCTTATTGGCCACAGCTAAATTCAGTTGTTTTCAGAAGAGGCTGAATTTAATTTACTTTTGTTTAATCAAAACCAAGACGGGAAACTGGCGATGCTGGCGGGTTCAGATCATGTGATTACAGCGATGAATGACATCACCGCAGTAACGAGTTTTGATGCGTCCGAACGCTGGTTGAGTCGCGGTTGTTCAGTCCTTCTCTTTGTTTCTGCAGCGACAACAGTGACAGAACGCGACACCGGACGCCTCGAAACGCCAGGATGTCTGCGCCCTCGCTGGGCCGCTTCGTCCCTCGGTGAGTTGGCTCCGAACCCGCCGCTGAACCTGGTAAACTCGCGCTCGCCGCTTTGGTTCTCATCTCATTCCTGTTTGTCATCCTGCAGCCGATTCCTCCTGCCCGAGTACCTGCCCTACGCCGGCATCTTCCACGAGCGAGGGCAGCCCGGGCTCGCCACACACTCCTCTGTCAACAGGGTGCTCGCAGGTATGCACACACACACCTTTATTTAAAAAGAAGGCGGCTCATATCCGACCTCCGTCAGGACACGGTGACCACAAAGTTGTTTTTCTTTTTTTTTCTTTTTTTTTTTTTCTTCAAATGGAGATGTGGGTTACCGAGCATGCCCAGTGACGCCGTTTCCTGTCCTCCACAGGGGCGTCGATCGGGGACGGTCAGTCTGCGGTCGCCAGCAACATCGCCAACACCACGTACCGCCTGCAGTGGTGGGACTTCACCAAGTTTGACCTTCCTGAGATCAGCAATGGTACGACAGCGCGAGGCCGAGGGTTTGAGTCCTCCGCTTTAGTTCAACTTTTTCTGTTCAGTTCCTGCTCAGCCCGGTTTGGAGGGGTTAAAGGTCACCCACTCTGACGGGGTTTAACAAACAAGCCGCTCTGAGTCTGTTTGTCTGAACGCCTCACAGACTCCGTCTCTCTGCCCCCCCCACAGCCTCAGTCAACGTTCTGGTGCCAAACTGTAAAATCTACAACGACGCCAGCTGTGACATCTCTGCGGACGGGCAGCTGCTGGCGGTTTTCATTCCCAGCAGCCAGCGCGGTTTCCCAGACGAGGGCATCCTGGCCATCTACTCGCTCGCCCCCCACAACCTGGGAGAGATGCTGTACACCAAGCGATTCGGTACGTCCTCACAGAGACGGCGGCTCTCTCTGTCACACGTCCAGGTTTGTAGGATGGTGACGGTGACAGCGGTGTTTTCTCCCTCAGGTCCAAACGCCATCTCCGTCAGCTTGTCTCCGATGGGCTGTTACGTGATGGTGGGCCTGGCCTCCCGCAGGATCCTGCTGCATCCCACCACTGACCACATGGTGGCGCAAGTCTTCCGCCTGCAGCAGCCGCACGGAGGAGAGACGTCCATCAGGGTGAGAGGGGCCTCAGATTTATTTGATAGAAAGCTGCGGGTCAGGTTTGTTTTTACAGAGGACAAATCGAAAAACTGATGTCAGATCAGCGGGCAGCATGTAAACGATGATGATGTCAGACAAGTTGAAGAGTTTGTGTGAAATTCAGATTTATTTATTTATTTTTTTTTTTTTAAGGGAATTTTTCCTCCACATACATGAAAACTCACCAAGTCTTATTTCATGTTTCACTGTAAAAGGCTGCTGGGGTGTGAGTCTGATAACCTGAGAAGGATTTAGAAATTGGTACCATAGGCGAGTTTGAATCTCAGTAAAGGTCAGAGGTAGGAGTGGGCGATAGAAACGATATAAATTTGTCCAACTATAGAGATTTTGACTATATCGCGCTATCCCGAAAGCGCATGTTGATGATGTCATCAAGCTGCGCCTGTTTTGGTTGAAAGCACCGCAGCGGCTACAACCATTATCATCTGCAAATGATGGCGACAGTCACAGCAAAGAGATGAAGCACTGTTGAAATATGGGGAAAGCCAAAAACTGCGCTTCCTCCACTTCCGTACCTTTGATTCATTAATGCTGAATCCTCTCACAGCTGCTCTGTTCCCATGTTGTTGCAGTATATTAATGACTAACCTCGTATTGTGGATGAATAATCTCAGTTGTTCTCCTGACTGAAGTTTGGCCAGTGTACAGCATCCTGCTATACGATTACATTTGTCCCTGACCACCAGAATCCCTCACATTAACTTTTATCGAGTGGAAAAAAGTTGGCGTTCATCCTCCAGCTTCACTGTGTTTATGCTATGCTAACATAGCTGTGTCGCTAGCAATCACTTAGCACAACATTATGTACCAGCTAGCCCAACTTCAGTAACCCTACAAACGTCACTGCTGTTTAGTTTCTGTCTTCATTTATGTTGGAAGTGGTAGCAGAGCTGTACGTTTGAATTAGTTTCAAAAATCTCAGTCAGAACATGGTATGAAATGTTTAGGTGGAAACTAGCGAGCTAACTTCCTGCTAACTTCTAACTCCATTAAATTTAATAACTTCTGTTTTCATGGATGCCTGGATGTTAAACTTAATTGTTACACCTGGTAAAGCAGCAACGCTGATGATTTAATTAAAGATGAAAGAATTTAGACAGTTTTTTAACTCTCAGTGTTCGTTTGACTTTTGGACCTGAAGTTGACGGAGTTTTGGACCCAGATTACTCTGAAGCTCCTCACTACAGCAGCCGTAATGCTCTGACCATCCATCAAGCTGTGCGGCTTACCACAGTTGTACTAAAACATTTTAACAGATTTCTGCAGCCAAAAGAAGAAAAGAATATATCGTGATATATATCGTTACCGCACATGCTTAAAATTATATCGCGATATGGATTTTAGGCCATATCGCCCAGCCCTAGTCAGAGGTCAACTTTTTAAAAAATCCTGAATAGCAAGTAGTACCGCCCACTGCCAGTGTTTCGTTATTTTCAGGAGAACATTCTCTAAAGTTGAGCACAGAGAATGGGACGCTCCCCGCGCTGCAGAGTCCACGTTCCAGAAAACAAAAGTGAGCGGTGAGCTCAGATCCAGGACGAGCTCCACATCCCGTCGTTTGGGAAAAGCTGGTTTTACGCAGCTTTGCTGTGGCATGTGCTTCAGCTGCAGTGTGTCTGTGTTTCAGATGGTGTTCAACGTGGTCTACCCCATGGCTCCGGACCAGAGGCGCCACGTCAGCATCAACTCTGCTCGCTGGCTGCCGGATCCAGGGATGGGACTGGCTTACGGAACCAACAAGGGAGACCTGGTGATCTGCCGGCCTGTGTGAGTCTGCAGGCACGAAAACAAAGTCCCGCTAAGTCAGACATCTCAGACTCAAAAACGCTGGTCGGGGATGGAGGTCGGCGTGCAGATTCAGGCTTCTGCAGCTGACTGTGCGAATGAGAAGCTGCAGACTGAGCGTGACGTTAAATAACCGAGCACGCGTTCAGCTGTCCTGCTCTCAGAGCTCCCTCGCGTCTTCTGATCTGATTATCCTCAAACCGAGCAGGAAGACCATTAACTGGAAGAGCCCGATTAGTGTGTTTTAATGCAGTTGTGTGAGTCCACGAAGCCCCCCCCCCCCCGTGAGGCTTCCTGAGTGGAAGTGAACTGACCAGCTTTGGTTGTGTGTGTGTGTGTGTGTGTGTAGGTTCTATCGAAGCGACGGCGAGAGCCCCAGCGAGTCGAGCAGCGAGCCACTGTTCAGCGTCAACAACAGCGGAACGAGCCGGAGCCGAGGCTCCGACAGGCCGGGGTGAGTTCAGGGCCTGCGGCGATGTTTGCGCCTGCTTTTTATCTGCTCGTAACACGTGGTCGGCGTCGCAGGTGACGGGCGCTCGGGTTATTTGACCCTTTTAAAACCTGAAACGTGAAATCTTCACGTTGTGGAGTGTTTGAACCTTGAGACAAAGT